AAAATTTTAAAACTTAAGAATACATTTATTGTATCTTCATATTATTAATTTGTATGAAAAATTATAAAAATAAAATTTATTTTTAATATTAATACTATATAAAATATTTTAATAAGATAATTAATAAAATTAGAGTTAATTTTTTATTATTTTATATACATTGATAATTAAAAAATATAATTAGGTACACAAAAAGAGAAACAATGGCAATGGTGGAAATTTGAGATCCATAATTAGCTAAAAGTGCCTTTGCCCATTCAAACTTGTTCTCTATAGGACGATGGGCAAGGATACATCGATCCAATGATAGAATATCATTTGAATATGTCACTTGCAATGCTGCCTTTATTGGTGTCCAGAATGTAATGCGAGCAGGTGCACATAAAACTTGCCTTTTTACCTTGGACTCCAGCTCAAAGAAATGGGAAACATGAGTGCCCTCCAGTCTTTCCCGTGAATTGGAATTTTCACCATTGGCAAAAAGCAAACACATACATCTTGGCCCCAATTGTCTTTATAATAATGGGTCCTGATTTTTTTTCCTTTCGTTATTTCTCTTTCCTCAGATATTTTTCTCTGCCTCGGATTCCTTTCCCTCTTGCCATTTACCAATACCATACCCACGTTTTCAAACTGTTAGTGGAATTGCCTGCCCTCCAGCAAAGCTTAGCAGGGAGCAACTTGATGCAAAAGTACGGAGAAAAATTCAGAACAAGCAATTCGCCCACAGAAGACAAAAAAAAATGTCAGTATGTCACTGTAGGAATGTACAATTATCGAGTGGATGAAAATGTGCAATTATTTACCAGCATCATCAGACGCTGTAGACTAGGCGGTGAGAGTCTAGAGCTCAGCGCCATGTCAAATGCGTCCTTGAGACCTTTTCTAGACATCAGGACATGACAGCTATTAATGGAGTCAGATATTAGATGCGAGGGAGAGGCATCAATTTTTTTCTATAAAAGCATTTATAGAAATATCTAAGGATAGAGAAACAGTAGTAAATTGGTAATGTTAACTACCTGCTAAAATAAAATTGCAAGGAGATAAAGTGGAAATGAGATACTTTGTATTTTAAATGTTAAAATTTGATATGAAATTATTTAAATATTAATAATAAAATTTTTTTATGTGTTAATTTATTAAAAATATTTATATTTTTTAATATTAATTTTTACATTATAATTATCATGACCTTTCGATTTTTTTCAATTTCAAATTTAAATTAATGTTTTTAGACTATGTCTTTTTTTTTTTTTGAATAATTTTACAAGAAATTGAATTT